CCTGTAGTTTGAGATCGAGGTTTACATGGACGGACGGACATAGCGAGAAAGTGATTCTAAGCCGACTGGTATACTTTAAGGTGGGTATAGTACCAATATTATTGTATGTTACAAACATCAGCACAAACCCAATATACCCTCCCCACCCTCTGATTTGTGAATTTGAAAAAAAAATTCCAAATTTTCATCTTTTAGTCCTTCTGACTGTATACTTGAGTCTCAAATATAAAATTCTTTATTTTACAGGAGTCTCTTCCTCTTGACGAATACTTAAAGTTACCACGTTAACTGGTGGCACTAAGATTTTTACAAAAATTTTGGCACTAAATTTGTCTATTTTGGATTATCTTTCCAATAAGATATAAAACACAAAAATTTTAAAAGTTATTACAAATTTCTGCGATCATTTAGTGTCACGAAATTCTTCTCGCGGCACTTCTCCCACTGAACTCTTATACTACCACTTCCCTATTAGTTAGACAATGCAAGAATGATCTGTGCTTGTCCTTGTTTGTATCCCTGCGGATAGGTGCTATTATCAGCTTTTGATATCTCCAACGCCATTTTAGCAGCAAATCCGTTAGGTTTTATAAAGATCAGAATCCTCACATTCTTCAGAATGCTGAAGATAGATGGAATAACCTAGGTACATACAAAGGGACCAAGTCAATGAGAAACACACAAGAAATAAAACTTTCCCGAGAATTCCGGAACGGAATTCCCCCAAACCCCAAACTCTATTCAAATAGATTTTGGTATTTGTATAAAAATAATATATTTACTCATCAGGAAATCCCCACTTCGGTTGATATTTTTAGGATGATTTGTAAAAAAAAAATAATCGTTTATTAGTACGGCGCATGAAAAATGAAATTTTTTATGGTGAGTCTAATTTCGTTTCACAGTATCTACAATTATTTGATGCAAAATTTTAAGGCAATTAGAGAAAATTTGTACCCTAAATCGAGTAATTATCTCACCATTGGTTAAAGAAAATTTGTTTCTATGAAGGAAATAACAACAAGGATCAAACAAAAAAGACATTTAGGAATCTGTGTAGGGCCGGTTATTAAAAAAAAAACACAAAATCTCGAGTGAAATATTAAAAACCTAAATATATCTTGAACTTAAGCAGATATTGACTAAATGACAATTAAACAAAATTGTCGAAAATAAAAATGAAAGTAGCAAAAACTGTATTACTTGCACTTTTTTTTTTTTCTGAAATAAACAACAACAATTTTTTTCTAAAATTTGGTTTAAGTACTTTTAGCATGATATATTCATAAATGTATTTTTAATTTTATTACAATCCTATAAAATAAGGTAATTTTTGGCAACAATCTATAGTGCTCAATTCTAGTTAGAAGTAATAACAACCTCGTTTAGTAAATCGGTTACAAAGTAAAACAAATACTTAAATATCTTCGACATGAAACTGTTTATAGCAGCTTTAGTCCTGTGCTCGTTGGCCATTTGCTTCAGTTCTCCCATCGACAATAAAAATCTAAAATCATTGTTAGGAGCAGAAGCCTCAGTTCATAATGATACGAATATTAAACGTATAAGTGCTGACAACGCCGAACATATCCGTACCGGCAATAATGATGAACATATTCGTATAGCGCGTCATCATGGCTATGGTGGTTATGGAGGAGGTTATGGTGGATATGGCGGTTATGGTGGAGGTTTATGGCGGCTATGGAGGATACAGGATATTACGGTTAAGATTTATGTAATAAAAATAATATTTTTTACGTAAATAAAAATAATCTGTGTATATAAGGATAAATTGATTATATTTAATTGTAAAAGAGATTTTATAAACTTTCTTGATTTGTTTTAAAATATTTTCCAAAATATGTATTTTGGATCTCCTGTTGACTACAAATAATACAAATAATTTTATCAAAACATATTAGTGATCATGATTTTATAGTTTTCGTCATGGGACTTCAAGTTTTCTATAACAAAAATCGAATACTAATTGAGATATTATCAGTGATCTCATTCATTAATTAAAAAAAAAAAAAAAAACAAGTAAGAAGTTATAGTGGGGCGAGACCGACCATATAATACCCTACACCAGTTATAAAACCAAAAGTGATTTAGTGTTCATAATAAAGCATTTAAGTTGAATTGTACCTTGTCTCAGATATACTTTAGATTTTTTTGTTGAATAAAATGTGTACATTAAGTCATATTTCGAACGGGTCTTTGTATAGGGGCTAGGGTCAAAATGAGGCCCTATCATCAAAAAAATCATCAGGGTCATAAAGACCTTGGTTTTGCAGCTTTTTGTCGAGATACGAATATATTGAACATAATTAACAAACTTAAAAGTCCTAATCGGGGGGTTCAGTTGTATGGGCGCTAGATCAAATATTGGAGCGATGTTAACCATTTTCAAAAGGATTCGTTTCTAGTACAATAGAAGATCATGTGTAAAATTTCATTGAATTGAATCTTCAAAATGGAGACCGTCACTGAGACAATAAACGATAATTACTAAATTTTCAGAAAATGATTCTAAGGTGAGTATAGGACCAATATTATTGCGCGTTACAAACATCAGCACAAACCCTCCCCACTAAAGTGGTGTAGGGTATAAATATGGAAATTATTTTTGTCAAATTTCATTTTGGTATGGAGGTCAAATATTCACTAATTATTGCTTTCGCTTTGGGACCTTAAATTTTCAAGAAAAAAATTGTTTTTAGACTTCCGTGAGAATTTTTGTTTGAATACGTTTTTTTTTCTGAAAGAGACAAAGAGAGAAGAGAGGTTATATACATTGTTGCCAATTTGACGTTTTTTCCGTCAAATCTGACGTTTTTGAAATGACAATTGCGCGACAAAATGCGTTTTAGCGGCTACCGGGAAATTTGGCGACTTTTAACCAATATTTGGAGATTTTTGACGTCTTTTCACGTAGTCTATAGTCTAGTCTATTGTCTAGTCCATAGTCTAGTCTATGGTCTAGTCTATAGTCTAGTTTATAGTCTACTCTATAGTCTATAGTCTAGCCTATTGCCTAGTCTATAGTCTAGTCTATAGTATAGTCTACAGTCTAGTCTATTGTCTAGTCCATAGTCTAGTCTATAGTCTAGTCTATAGTCTAGTCTATAGTCTAGTCTATAGTCTAGTCTATAGTCTAGTCTATAGTCTAGTCTATAGTCTAGTCTATAGTCTAGTCTATAGTCTAGTCTATAGTCTAGTCTATAGTCTAGTCTATAGTCTAGTCTATAGTCTAGTCTATTGTCTAGTCCATAGTCTAGTCTATAGTCTAGTCTAAAGTCTAGTTTATAGTCTACTCTATAGTCTAGTCTATAGTCTAGTCTAGTCTATTGTCTAGTCTATAGTCTAGACTATTGTCTAGTCAATAGTCTAGTTTATAGTCTAGTTTATAGTATAGTCTACAGTCTAGTCTATTGTCTAGTGCATAGCCTAGCCTATAGTCTAGTCTATAGTCTAGTTTATAGTCCAATCTATAGTCTAGTCTATTGTCTAGTCTATAAACTAGACTATTGTCTAGACTATTGTCTAGTCAATAGTCTAGTCTATAGTCTGGTATATAGTCTAGTATATAGTCTAGTCTATAGTCTAGTCTATGGTGTAGTCTATAGTCTAGTCTATAGTCTAGTCTATAGTCTAGTCTATAGTCTAGTCTATAGTCTAGTCTATAGTCTAGTCTATAGTCTAGTCTATAGTCTAGTCTATAGTCTAGTCTATAGTCTAGTCTATAGTCTAGTCTATAGTCTAGTCTATAGTCTAGTCTATCGTCTAGTCTATAGTCTAGTCTATAGTCTAGTCTATAGTCTAGTCTATAGTCTAGTCTATAGTCTAGTCTATAGTCTAGTCTATAGTCTAGTCTATAGTCTAGTCTATAGTCTAGTCTATAGTCTAGTCTATAGTCTAGTCTATAGTCTAGTCTATGGTTCAGTCTATAGTCTAATATATAGTCAGGACTACTTTCGGTTGCCTATTCAATAGTCGAAATTCAATAAGGGGATTCATGAAATACGTGGGCAAACTTGCGCATTTGTATTATTTAGAAGAGATGATTTATTTTAAAATGATCAGTTCAAATAGGCGATCAAATGTATCAGTGTTGTGGAAGTAAAATCCTATACAATTTGTGACAAATTCAGTGCAGAATCCAAAATTCACTAATTGCACAGTTTGTATTTTTTTTTTTTTTTTTTTGAAAAACATCCAGTTTAAATTGTACGTTTTCTAGCTGCTTTTGCAAAAACATTAAGCTGGCGGTTTTTTTGACATGGTTTAACGGGAAATGGTGGAAAAATATTGGCAACACTGGTTATATATGAACCAGTCCTCATATAATATGATGTGAATTATGTTTATATACTGAAAATAATCGAAATGCTTCGTGGTTTCGTATTATACAAGAAATTTGCATAAATATTACGAAAAACGTAATTTTATTTTCGTAATGTTAAGCATGTATCATTTTCAGTGTAAATATTTTTGCTCGTTATGGGAATACCCGTCTTTTGATGTCTGCTATGATGATGTCTATATATAAAGAATGCGCGACTTTTAGATGAGATGACTAGTTCATTTTAATAACTGATAACATGAAGAAAATATTCTTTGCGATAATCTTAATTATATTTTCAAGTTATCATCTAGCAAACGCTGAAAAACAAAACAATTCTAAGAAATTGTTAGAGAATACTAATGATACATTTGATGTCAGTAAAGGAATACATCAGCATGCAGGTAATATCCCGCGATCTCACGTTGGTAAAAACAAAGAAAAATATACACATATAGACAGAGTCAAAATTTGTGGTCCTGTAAACAATAGAGGAGGCGGTTTAATATGTGATGGTTACAATGGTCAAGCTAGGGGTTAAAACATACATAAATACATACTTATATACATACATAAATATAAAAGTATTACTTTATTATATTTTCTTCGATTTATTTATATATACAAATATTAAATAAAATGCACTTTAAATATATTTTTAAAAACGTGTACGTTCTTCATATAATTGATCACCAGTTTTAAAGGGCGTTTTCGATGGTATACGTTGAGGCTTAATATGGGAACAATCAAAATGTGTTCCTGGAACACCAGCACCAAATCCACGATTACAATTTAGTTGAGGTTTCGCCATAGCCATCAATACTAGACAAAGTAGAAAACAGTAATATGTTAAACGCATTTTAATGTCTTATCAACAATAATTAATGAACTGAAGAAAAAAAATTACTAAACATTATGCTATAATTATTGTTATTTTTAAAAAATTACTTGAGTGGTTTTTCAAATAGAAAGCTCTTTATGTGCTTTTTAAAATAATTTTTCAATGCTTTATTAGATTAGCGATCGGCACATACAGTTAATCACAAAATAAGTATACAGAAATACTGACGATTGATTTTATTTAAAAATATTATTATTCATATTATTTTTTCAAAAAAACAAGAAAGTAACACATTTATTTATTAAAAACAATTATGATAATTATTATTCACTACTTTTTTCCTTCATATTTTGGTTCTTTGAGTTCTCATTTAAGCTAAAGTTAAAAAGGTGAAAAATTTACGTCACAAAAGTAAATATACAGATCATTTCAGTATATATTTGGTTTAATGATATTAACAAAATTTATGAAAATTTTACTTGTATTAATATAATTACTTTTTAATAAAATATTTTTTACACAATAACTTGGAAAAAATCTACTTTTAGTTCCGAAATCTTGAAATTTGGGCCGACTGGCTCCGGAATTAATTAGTAGAACAGTTTTTTCTCATTTCTACGATTTTTTTCCACTTTAGACCCCGGATTTTGGATCTGGTGGTAATTGAACCCTCCAAATGATGCATTGGAAATAGAATTTTTAACTTTTGAAAAGAGTTGTTATTTCGAAATTAATGTTATATGCATGGATTTGGCCATTTTGAACACAGTACGTTCTTAAAAAACCCGAAATTTAACTCCGATTTCTTAAGACTTACAACATAAACTTTAAAATTGTATAATTCTATATATTTTCTTTAATTAAACAGGTTTTCCAAATACTCCGATTTCCAAAGCATACAATAATGCTACCAATCATATCTTGATATACTCGATACAATAACCATGTTTTATGGTTCTAGCAACAAATTAAGATGTATCCGTGTTCAAAATTTAATATAAAAATCTTACGATATGTAGTGTAAGTTATTGACATGGTCACCATTTGACGATTATTGGTAGTATTTAGGAGTGTGTAATGGATGATTGGAACCAAAACACTTGTTTTAATTAATGGATACTAGTGCAAATATTATTAATATTGCATTTTAAGATATAAATTTTAGGAAATCGCCGTTAAATATCGAATATAAACGCTATATTATGTTAAAAACGGCAATGTTCCGCAATGGATTGTAATTATTGTAAAGAAACAATTACTTTAAAAGTTAAAATATCGTCTTCCAATGCATAATGAACAACGAGGGATATTATTGAATACCCCGATCCAAAACTCCGGGGGTTTAAATAGTCAGATGTTCTTAAATAGGAAAAAATTCTCCTATAATAATATTCAGATCAATTACCAAAAATTTCAATTTTTCGGAACAAAAAGTGAATTTTTTCCATGTTATAGTGTACAGCAACGGTTCCCAAAAGGGGGGTCCGCGGACCCCTAGTGGTCCGTAGCAAAATCCTAGGGGGTCCGCGAAGACGAACGAAAAAAATCATGAATAAAAAATATTCTCTATATGTTAGAAAATATTAAAAATATCTCCAAATTTTTCATAAATACTAAAATACACAATTTTATTCAATAATCCCAGATTTGTTGGTGACTTTTTGAATTTTATTGTTTCGGTCGTTTATCAGGATGAAGCTAGGCCCTACAAATTTATTGTTTCACTTTTATAAAGTAAAGTATTACGTGATTTGTAATTTTTATAAATGTATATGTATCGAAATAAATGTTTTATATCAGACGGATAATGATTTGCCTTAGAATTAAATACTGATACTGGTATCCCGGAATATAATATTTCATAATATTTTTTTAAATTGTAAGCAAAAGTGTTAATCTAGTTAATTTTAAATATAAATATTCTATTCCGACGTGATACACAGATTTTAACTTCATTTTGTTGTCCAATATTATTAAATCAACATCAGAAAATTCATAGCGTTTTGCGTAAATAGTCAAAACGACGCAGTAAAATAATTCGTAGGTATTTTAAAATTCAAATTTAAGATCCAAATTCACAGTACATTCGCAAAGAGTTCAGGTCATATTTTATGTGGGTAACGCATTCCGCAACAACATCGAAGAAGTCTAACTTTCACATTTTTTCCCGAAAACTTAGCTTACATACTCAGCTCACTCCTATGAAATCGCAAAAAAATTTAGAAACATGACTCTTTAAGCACATGTCGACAATACTTGATAATAACCCTTTTCGCTACCTTGACGAGAAATGAACATGAAAGCTTTCACGATCATAAATTAAACATCATGTTAGAAGTCATTCTATATTTAAAACCATGCAATTGAAAACATTTCCGAAATACTAAATATTCTCAATGTACGGGAATATTTTATAGGGTTTATGGACCAGGACTAAGACAATTTTCGGATGAACAATTATTTATAACAATAAGATATCATAATATGTATGGGGGTCCGTGAAATTAAATAAATTCCTCAAGGGGTCCGCGAAGTAAAAAACGGTGGGAACCGCTGGTGTACAGAATATTTTATTATAAAATAATTACAATCAAACAGGTAAAATTTTCATGAATTTTGTTAATATCATTAAGCCAAATACATATTGAAAATTTCTGTATACTTACTTTTGTGACGTAAATTTTGCACCTATTTAACTACACCTTAAATGGGAACTCAAGTAACCAAAATAACCCGGAAAAAAGTAGTGAATAATAATTATCATAGTTGTTTTTAATAAATAAATATGTTACTTTTTTGATTTTTTAAAAAATAATATCCTTTTTTAAATAAAACCAATTGTCAGTATTTCTGTATACTTATTTTTGAGATTAACTGTACATGAGTGGTTTGTTTTTGAACCCAAAGAGAGAATATTTATTTTTGCCCAGTGTGCTTCGCTACCCTAAAAACAATATAAATAAAAAACCATTTATGATTTTGCTTACTTACTTTTTTAGTCAGCAATATATGTATCGAATTTCATGGCTATACTAATGTTCCTAACTGTATTATTATAGAGGCAATCAGCCTGAAGCTTATTCACTAAGGTCCAGAATTGATGCCGTTTTATCAACCGATTATACAAATGTTTTTTCGACAGTTTTGTCTACAGTATTACTAAAGAAACGCTCAAACGCTCAAAGATTTTGTTTGGGTATGGTAGTAAGTAATTTGGATGTATATATTACTGTCTATAAAAAAGCCAAGTTCATTGAATTATGAAGAAAATAAATAAATTATTATTAAAAAAAATCCACACTTATTAACCAATGTTATTTAGTTGATTTAATATTAAACAAATAAGAGCTTTACATTCGGTTATATCGAAACTTATACAATATTCACTATCAAAATATGAATCTTAGAGTGATTTTCGGACTTATTATTATTATATAAGCATAAATAATTCTTCCGATTTTCTTGATCCTAGCCTCCATACAAAGTTCTCATCAGAAAATGACTTGAACATCGTTAATTCCATTTTAAACACTGTCACTATAATGAAATTCTGCATATCTAACTCCTACATGAATATAAATCTCTCCACTAAATTTTGATAAGATTGATGCTATATTAAACAAGTTAGAGTTCTATATTCGGTTGTGCCGAATCTTATATATTCTTTACCATGATGTATTAAAAAAATCAAAAATACCAGTTGTAAAACGAAAAAGCACCAGAAAGTCCCCTTATATAGATTTTCGTTCAATCAGAGTGTTGCGTATGTGCATAAAAATGTATCATTCATAGAACAAAAAAGTTGAAAAAATCGTTTCCTCCAGATTTGTATTAACTTAAAAGTACCAAAAAGTCCCACTTTACCTGTTCTCACTATAAATACAAAAAAATTTTCTTTTTTTCAATATTATAGAAAATTCAGAACGAAAAAGTATCAAAAGTCCTCTTTTATAGGTTCTCACATAATACGGGCTCTACATGCTTAATTTCATGTCTCTTAATCTCAATTTTTGGTGAAATTTTCAGAGGTTGTCTCGGATTTTTACTCATATCTCAGTTATTCATGATGTTGGAAAGAATTGTTGAAGATTTGGATCCCGAAGATATCTGGAGTCTTCAGAAAATTGATTTCAACTAACATATATAAAGACAGACGGACAGACTCCGCTATCTATAAGGATATATACTTTATAGGGTCAGAAAATTATATTATAGAATTTATAAACGGAATGACATATATATCGTCACCTGAAACGCAAACTGCCCTAACCAACCAAAAATTCAAAATTGATTTTATTGTTGATTATAATGTATTGCATCAAAACAAATGTCCACACAAAAAATTGGACTCATACGATCAAAATAAGCGATTTTATTGGCAAAAACCAAACGGCCCTATCTACAAAAACATTTAAATATTAATGGTAAAAAGTCCAATTTATCCATTTTTATATACGCCATTGTCAACTATCATAACAACTAAAAGGTTTCATTATTAAACAAGTCAGAAAGTATAGTCGGGCGTGGCCGACCATATGATACCCTACACCAGTTATGAATATTAAATGTGATTTATTTTTCATAATAAAGCATTTATATTCAATATTACCTTGTTCCGATACATTTAAGCAATTGGTATAGCAATGGATGAAAAATTAATTTTCTGAAAGAGGCTTTATATGGGGGCTAGGGGCAAATATGGACCAAGCCCGATAAAATTTTGTGAATATATTTATATTTACATAATATTTTATTGTGCTGAATTTCTTCGTGATATTTGTGTTTATAAGTTAATTTGGGACATTCAAGTAATTTTCTGAAGGGGACTTTGTATGGGAGCTAGGGTCAAATGGGGCCCGATCTTTATGAAATTTGGCAGGGTCATCAAGACTTCTATAAAACTTAGTTGTGCCGTAATTTATCGATATATCTGTATATTTAACATAATTATGAGCTCAGAATCCATTTTCGGGAGGTTCTGTTCTATGGGAGCTAGGTGAAATAATGGACCGATTTAAACCATTTTCAATAGGCTTCGTCCTTGGGTCAAATAAAGCGTGCGTGCCAAATTTCATCTTGAAAATTGCAACCTGTACCTTGCGCACAAGGTTTACATGGACAGCCAGCCAGCCAGTCGGAGGGACGGACATAGCTTAATCGACTCAGAAAATGATTCTAAGCCGATTGGTATACTTTAAGGTGGGTCTAGGACGAATAGTTTTGTATGTTACAAACATCAACACAAATCCAATATACCCTCCCCACTAAAGTGGTGTAGGGTATAAAAATTAGTTTATTTACTACAAATAAACTTTTCAATTTAAATAGTTTTTTGATTCTCCTATAAAATTTTAAAAGTGTTAGATAGGGCCGTTTGCGTTTTAGGTGACGATATGTACTTAAACATCGTCGGAGTAAAACTCGACAGAAATATGGTTTGTAAATATAAAAATCATTCTCCTAAATTTTTTGCATCGGCAAGATCAATCTATAATAGATCATAGCACCCGTCCATATCCGAAAATCACGTAAAACCATTTTTTTGACCAATCAATAATAATAACAAGTAAGAATTTATACCATATAATAATAAAGTATTTAATTTCATTTTTACCATAATTCAGAAATATTTTAACAATTTTTTGACAAAAAAGTGATTTTCTAAAAGAGAGGTTATATGGGGGCAATGGTCCAATTGTGATATTAGTGTTTATAAGTGAATTTTGACCATCAAGTCATTTTCTAAAGGGGACTTAGTATGGGGGATAGGGTGAAATTAGGCCCGATCATTATGAAAATCAGCAGTATCATTAAGATTGATATAAAACCAAGTTTTGTCGATTTTTGGAGTGATACAAGAACATTTAACATATTTATGAGCTCAAAAGCCCTATTCGGGGGTACTGTTGTATGGGGACTAGGAGATATAATTGACCGATTAGAAATATTTTCAATGGGCTACGTCCTTCGTCAAAAGAAGAGTATGTGCCAAATTTCATCAATGCACAAGGTTTACATGGACACATAGAAGGACGGACATAGCTAAATCGACTCAGAAAGTGATTCTGAGCCGATTGGTATACTTTCAGGAGTTTTTTATCTTTTGATCCAGCGTCTGGAAAAAAAATTTAAAATTTTTTATAAATAATATTACAAAAAAAAATTTATTTCTTATATGTAAATTTATTTCCGCCTTGCTTTTCAATATTAATTCCGGTATAAAACAGACCTTATCATTAAAGAATATTAGTGGACTATTTCGTCTCTCCAGCTCCCTTGATTTGAGCGTATATAACAAGTTAGAGTGCTATGTTCGGCTATGCCGAATATTAAATACCCTCCACCAGCAAGCTACTTTTTACGAAAACCCATTTAACTATGTAATTTTTAGATAACTTAGCAAAGTTTTTATTTCCGTATTGAGCGTACAAACATTTATGCATATGTCGAAATAATTTTGGTTAGGTCCAGAAAAATTTATATTAATAGACCAGTTCGAAAACATATTAATAGAATGATTTATCTATACACAGAACATACTCATGTCGAATTTTATCCGGATATAATCATTTAATAGCGAATTAAGTGGTATTAAGTAATTTTTGAGAGCTAAGACAACTCATGGATCGGTCCGGAAAAAATTCCGTATAATGATTTATATAACTATATATAACAAAAAACACATTTATGTAGAATTTTATACCTATAACTTTGATTGTCAATGTGCGTTTAAGTAATTTTTGGAAATGGTCCTTATATGGGAGCTATGACCAATAATGGATCGATCCGGGAAAAAAGTGGTAGAATGATTTATATTTACACAAAACATATTCAAGTCGAATTTAGTCCCTATAGCTATAGAATTCAATGAAATATGTATATGCTATTAAGTGATTTCCTCAAGTGGGCCTTATATGGGAGCTATGACCAATTATGGGCCTATCGAAGAGTGATTCATATTTAGACAAAACATATCTGTGTCGAATTTTAACAAGATAGCTTTATTTGATAATGAATTATGTGCTTTTAAGTGATTTTCGTAAGTGGGCCTTATATGGGAGCTATGACTAATAATGGACCGATCCGTAAAAAATTGGGTAGATTGATGATTTGTATGTACACAAATATATTCAAGTCGCATTTTATTCATACAGCTGTAGAATTCAATGAAATATATGAGTTTAAGTGATATTCGGAAGTGAACCTTATATGGGAGCTATAACCAATTATGGGCCTATTGGGAAAAAATTTCGTAGAGTGATTCATATTTAGAATGTTGGTGTCGAATTTTATCAAGATAGCCTTATTTTTTAATGAAATATGTGCTTTTAAGTAATTCTCGGAAGTGGGCCTTATATGGGAGCTATGACTAATAATGAACCGATCCGTAAAAAATGTTGTACAATGATTTGTGCGTACATAAAACATATTCAAGTCGGATTTTGTCACTATAGTATTAGAATTTGATGAAATATATGCGTTTAAGTGATTTTCGGAAGTGGCCCTTATATGGGAGTTATGACCAATTATGGGCCTATCCGGAAAAAAAATCATATTTTTGATGTACACGAAACATATTTAACTCGAATTTTATCACAATAGCTTTATTTGCCAATGAAATATTTGCGTTTAGGTCATTTTCGGAAGTGGACTTTATATGGGAGCTAAGACCAATTGTGGACCGACTGAGATCTTCGTTGGTAATATGATTTCTGTTCATATTATATTTGCATGTACAAAATTTTGTGTTGATACCGATATATTTGAGGAAGTTATTAACGATAAACTAATTTCCGGGAATATATAGCATTGTATAGGGGCTATGGGAAATATTGGATCGATTGTAAAGATTTTGTCTTTTTATTCATAACTTTTTTTTTACTCATAACTTTTTACGTTGTGAACCGACTTTGCTGATTTTAGGATAATAGTAAATATTTTGGGTGAATTTGGTTGATTGCCTTTGCGTAGTTTTAACGTGAGCGTGTTTTACACGGACAGACAGACAGACGGACATAGCTAAATCGACTCAGAATTTCATAAAGACCCAGAATATATATCGTTTGTTGGGTCTTAAATGAATATTTCTTGGTGTTACACACGGAACGACAAACTTATATATGCCCTCTATCATCACTGATGGTGGTGGAGGGTATAAAAATGTATTTTTACAATTTGATGTTTTGTTTTATATTATTTTATTTTGTATGATAATTCAAGTCATGTAAAATTAAGAACGTACTCTTCTACTGATTATACCTTAAGGTATATTTGTTATTTCTATATTATGGGTAACACATACAAAAATCAACTAATGAATTTAAAAATAATATATAATATTTACATAGTTTAACTTGTTTATAAATGTAAAATATTTTATATTACAAAAGAGACCATCATTAAAATGAATGAAGTTTTAGCCCCATCCGGCACCTCCCCAACCGACACCTCCACGACCTCCCCAGCCGCCACCTCCCCAACCTCCACCTCTACGACCTCCCCAGCCGCCGCCTCCCCATCCTCCTCCTCCACTTCCCCATCCTCCACCTCCGCGACCACCCCAACCGCCGCCACCATAATATCGAGCCAAACGATTGGCATTATTTGAATGGAAGTCTCCAGCATCGGCTACAGCTAACAAAGAGGTTGGTCGTTGCAAATACTCCAAAGTAGCCGGTATGGCCGTTATCACCGCTACGATGCCCAACAAGGCCAGTATCAACAGAAGACGCATGTTACACGTCACTATCAAAATTATCAATTTATTCTTTATATCCACTTGTGATGTGTCCTTATGTTGAATAGTAAACTTATACTGTATACTGTAGTAAGGATTTCTACATTTTTATACTTTTTCAATTTTATCAGGGTGAAAGTTCTAAATGCAGTTTCAAAATTGCAACGTAATTTTTTTTAAATTGTTATTTTTTATTATTAATTTGTTTGAGTATTTTGAAGCAAATTGTTTTGTGATTTCATGTGTGAGGTTGATGATGTTTGTTCTTTTTTTAATTGGATGTATAGAAGTAAAAATGCATTTCTTAAAAAAAATTTATATACACTCTTCTGTTAAAATTCCCAACTGTTATTGACAATAACAAATAAAGAATTTTTGTCATACATATTTACATGGAACATAAACTAGAAAAAATTAATTTATTCCATAATGTACGTTAGATATGTAGTATGCTTTTTAAACTGGAGAAATATATTCAACAATCTTAATATACATGTATGTACATAACTTCTTACCCGCTTATTCACAAACCAATTTTTATACCCACCATCAAAAAAGATGGGGGGTATATTGATTTTGTCATTCCGTTTGTAACACATCGAAATATTGGTCATAGACCCACAAAAGTATATATATTCTCGGGGAGGGTTGAAATTTCACATAAATATTTCTTATAGGTAAGGTTTGTTTGGTATTGAAAATGGGCAATATCGGTCCACGTTTTCGGATAGCCCCCATACAAGTGGCCCCTCCAAAAGTAGCATTAACAGCCATAAATTGTTTAAAAATACGAATATAGCTATGAAATTCGACATAAGTAACTTTCTTATGATCCAAAATTACTATGCAATATTTTATGAGGACCGGTCCATAATTGACCCTACCCCCCATATAAGGTCCCCTTCAGAAAATGACTGCAACGCTCATTAATGGTTTAAAAATACGAGTGTAGCGATGAAATTCGACACAAATAAATTTAATACGAGCCAAATTCTGTTTACCAAATTTTGTGAGGATCGACCCATAATTGACCCTACCGCCCTATATAAGGTCCCCTTTAGAAAATTACTTTAACGCTTATAACTGGCCTAAATATACGAGTATATAGATGAAATTCGACATAAGTAAGTTTCATTCGAGTCAAACGAGGTTTGATGGTGGGTATATAAGATTCGGCATAGCCGAATATAACACTCTTACTTGTTTATTTTATAAACGGTTTATAAATTAGATTTTGTATGGAAATTTTGTGTTATAAACATTTTATAAAATAAAAATGTTGTTTGTGAATAAGGGGGTTAGTATTTTTGTTGATTTTATACCAATTTTTAGCATACACATAATTCAATCTTTTTATACCCTTCACTTTCATGAAGAAGGGTATATATAAGTTTGTCATTCCGTTTGTAATTTCTACAATATAATTTTCCGACACCATATATATGTATATTCTGTCCGTCTGTCTGGCTGGCTGTCTGTCAGTCTGAATGTTTATTGAAATCAGTTTTTAAAAAAACCTTAGATATCTGCGAGATCCGAATTTTTAATAATTCTATCAGACATGCTTTCGAGAAGTTCGCTATTTAAAGCATAATCGGTTCATAAATAACGGAGATATGAGCAAAAATCCGAAAATTTCATAAAAAATTTTGATTTTTCGTGCATGCAGAGTCAGATTTTATAAACAAATAACAACAACACACATAATCATACGGTAATTTTTTTTTGTACAAAGCAAAGAAAGAACAACACTTTGAGAATAAACAGTGTACTTTTTGAATTTTCTATAATATTGAACACAGAAACATGAAATTAAGCATGTGAGGCCTGGAGTAAGTGGAACCTATAAAAGCAGATTTTTTTTGGTAATTTATCGTTCTTCAAAAGGTACTATTTGAATTTTCTATAATATTGAACCTAGAAACATGAAATTAGGCATGAAGGGCCCGGAGTAAGTGTTAACCTATAAAAGACGATTTTTTGTACTTTTTATACCCTACACCACTATATTGGGTATTATGCGTTTGTCCTACACCCACCTCGAATAAACTATACGTTCAGAATTATGACTAAAAACTTGAGACCACCTCGAAAAAAAATTGTGTTTATACCCTACACCACTTTAATGGGGAGGGTATATTGGGTTTGTGCTGATGTTTGTAACGCACAATAATATTGTTCCTATACCCACCTTAAAGTAAGCAATCGGCTTAGAATCATTTTCTAGTCGATTTAGCTATGTCCGTCCGTCTGTCCGTCCGTCCATGTAAACCTTGTAATCAAACTACAGGTAATTTTGAAGATAATTCATTGTAATTTGGTACATGATCTTCTATTGTCCCGGGGACGAAGCCTATTGAAAATGGTTAAGATCATTCCATTATTTCACCTAGACACCATACAACTGAACCCCTGAATAGGGCTTGTAAACCTTGTAATTAAACTACAGGTCGCAATTTTGAAGATATATAATTGAAATTTGGAACATGATCTTCTATGGTACCGGAGACAAAGCCTATTGAACATGGTTAACATCGGTCCATTATTTCACCTAGCCCCCATACAACTGAACTCGACGAATAGGGCTTTTAAGTTCATAATTATGTTTAATATACTCGTATCTTGACAAAATGCTGCAAAACCAATACTATACTATATCTATACTAGCCTTGATGACCCTCATGAATTTTATAATTATAAATAACGGAGATATGAGCAAAAATCCGAGACAATCTGAAAGTTTCATCAAAAATTGAGATGTTTTATTCATGCTCAGACAGAAACTGTAAACAATCAGCAACAAAACACGTAATCATACGGTAAATTGTTTTATTGTACTTGCTTGTTTATAAAAACAAAGATGAGCATGACGTCACGTTACGAAGGAAGCAGTGTGTTGTTATTGGATAGAAACATGAAATTAAGTATGTAAAGCCGGGATTAGGTGAGACAATATAAAAGGGTACTTTTTGGTACTTTTTATACTCTCCACCACCATCAGTGGTGATAGAGGGTATACTTATATAACTTTGTCATTCCGTGTGTAACACCATGAAATATTCAACTGAGACCCAACAACGTATATACATATATATTCTTGATCCTTATAAAATGCTGAGTCGATTTAGCTATGTCCGTCTGTCTGTGTAAAACACGCCCACATTAAAACGAAGCAATAGAAATTCAATCAAAACATTCTCTATTTTCCGGTACAATTTAGTAATGAAAATCAGTAAAATCGGTTTGCGACGTAAAAAGTTATGAATAAAAATTTCAGACTACCTCGAAAAAAATTACGTTTTTTCCCAATTCTTAAGTACTTTTCTCAGAAACTACCAAAGATATTTCGATGAATTTTGTCACACATTACTTTTGTCTACCAGGGATCAAGTATGTTTAAACTCATAAGAATTGATCCAATATTTTCCATAGCCCCCCGGAAAGTAGTTTATTGTTAATAACTCCCTCAAATATATTGGTATAAACACACAATTTTGTACATGCAAATATAATATGAACAGAAATCATACTACCAACGTAGATCTCAGTCGATCCACAATTGGTCATAGCTCCCATATAAGGCCCATTTCCGAAAATCACCTAAGCGCACATATTTCTTTAATAAAAAAAGTCATTGTGATAAAATTCGAGCTGAATATGTTTTGTGTACACATATACAAATCATACTACTAGATTTTTTCGGATCGCTTCGTTATTGGTCATATCTCCCACATAAGGTCCACTGCCGAAAAGCACTTAAACGCACATATGTAATTGTCAAATAAAGCTATATTAATAAAATTTGACACAAATATGTTTCGTCTATATATAAATCACTCTACGTAATTTGTTCCGGATAGGACTATAATTGGTAATAGCTCTCATAAAAGGTCCACTTCCGAAAATCGCTTAAACGCATATACATTAGAGTGATTCAATCTGTATGAAGGAAAAAAAAATTTTGTCTGACAGGCCGTCCCCCTCTAGAATTGTTCTATGGGTTGTACAACCATGTCAGACAAAAATATAGGCTGATTGGATAACGTTAACAGGTGCCGCAACGGCTCTGAAGTTTTCAAGTGCATTTACAAGGGGAAAATATCGATTTTTTGCTCAAATTTGGCCATTTAGTAATAAATTTTGGACTTTATTGTAAAGGAATCGTAATGTGCTCAGAGTAAGCATTTCGGAAAGACATAAAGCACAAAAATTGCTTGAAAACTTTAAAAGTTATTGCAAATTCCCCAGGCCATTAACGTGTTTCACAGCACATAAATTCGAAATGTGACAAAAAAAAAAATACTTTTTTTGGGATATATTCTAAAAAATCATTTTGTTACTTAAAATATACCTTATAAAATAACGCTAACTCTTTCTCACCTATGGTCAAAATATTTGGGAATTTTTAGTGTACCATATTGAAATAATATTTATTTGTCGGCCATAGTTACCAAAAATAACTGGAATTTATCGTATATAGTCCGATATTTAAAATAAAGTGAAAAAAAGGTAGATTAACCTTTTAAGGCACTTGGGAATAATTTAACACCAAAGTTCAAAAATTCGAAAAAACACTATCTATTTGAATAATTAGAGGAATAACAGAAATAAATCAAAAAATTCTATATTAAGTATAAAAAATTATACTTTAACCCTTCTTGACTATGGAGTAAACTTGAGGAGCACGTTTTTAAAAGAAAAATTTTGTTTTTAAAACTGATAATTTACGTAATCCTTTTTTACGGTCGATTTTCAATGTAGTACAAACTGTATATGGTCAAAAAGGGTTAATTCATAAGTTTTTATACTTAATATAGAATTTTTTGTTTTATTTCTGTTATTCCTTTAATTATATAGATCATTATTTAAATAGAGAGTGTTTTTTCGAATTTTTGAACATTGGTCTTAAATTGTTCCAAAGTGCCTTAAAGGGTTAATCTAAATTTTTTCACTCTATTTATATACGATAAATTTCAGTCATTTTTGGTAAAGATGGCCGACAAATAAATATTATTTCTATATGGTACACTAAGAATTCCCAAATATTGCAAAAATTTACCATTGAACTCTACAGTTTATGGTTTAAGAATGTCTGATTTTAATAAAACTTCGGATATATATTTTGTATTATCTAGACTATAATACTCTGATAATACTTTATTTAAAATATGCATCAGTAAAGAATTAATACATATTCTCTAAAATATTACAAAAAAATGCGATTTTCCCGAAATCCGCCGAGTTCAAATCGCAGGTACAGCTAAACTGTAAGAAATATTTATCTAATATTTTTACCGTTTAATAGCCTTATCTATTGACCATAAATCCCCATGTGATGCCCTAAAAATTTTGAAATTTGTTTAACAAAGTTTCAAAAAAACTGAAATTGCAGATTTGAAACGGCCGTTGAAAAAATCTAACTATTTTGACCATAGCTGAGAACGATTTAGCGTTATCTTATAAGGGCAAAAACTAATATTCGAGTAATTATAGGTATATTTTAAGTAACAAAATGATTTTTTAGAATATATCCCAAAAAAAGTAAATTTTTTTGTCACATTTCGGATTTATGTGCTGTTAGACACGTTAATGGCCTGGGTAATTTGCAATAACTTTTAAAGTTTTCAAGCAATTTTTGTATTTTATATCTTTCCGAAATGCTTACTCTGAGCAAATTACGATTCCTTTACAATAAAGTTCAAAATTTATTACTAAATGGCCAAATTTGAGCAAAAACTGAAAAAATCGATATTTTCCCCTTGTAAATGCACTCGAAAACTTCAGAGCCGTTGCGGCACCTGTTAACGTTATCCTACCAGCCTAATTTTTTGTATGACATAGTTTTACAACCCAAAGAATAATTCTAGAGGGGAGGACGGCCAAAATTCGCAACTTCGTTTTTTTGGAGCACTCTAATATACATATTTCCTTGAATTCTAAAGCTATCGGTATAAAATTCAGCTTGAATATGTTTTGTGTACATATAAATCATTCTACCAATTTTTTCCCGGATCGGTCCATTATTGGTCATAGCTCCCATATAAGGCCCACCTTCGAAAATCATTTAAACTCATATATTTCATTGTCAAATAAAGCTATCTTGATAAAATTCGACACAAATATGTTTTGTCTATATATGAATCACTTTACGAATTTTTTTCCGGATAGGCCCGTAATTGGTCATAGCTCCCATATAAGGTCCGAAAATCACTTAAACGCATATATTTCTTTGAATAATAAAGCTATCGGGATAAAGTACGACTTGAATATGTTTAGTGTGTATATAAATAATTCTACCAAATTTTTTCCGGATCGGTCTATAATTGGTAATAGCTCCTATATAAGGTCCACTTCAAAAAATCACTTAAACGCAGATATTTCATTATCAAATAAAACTATCTTGATAAAATTCGACACAAATATGTTTTGTGTGCATACATATGAATTACTCTACGAAATTTTTCCGAAGAGGCCCGTAATTGGACATAGCTCCTATATAAAGTCTACTTCCGAAAATCACTTAAACACACATATTTCATTAATTAATAAATATATTGGAGTAAAATTCGACGAAATTTTTTCCTGATCGGTCCATAATTGGTCACAACTCCCATATAAGGACCATTTCCGAAAATTACAATGTGCGTATACATTGACAATCAAAGTTATCGGGATAAAATTGTGTATTTTGTATATATAAATCGTTATACGGAATTTTACTTCTGAAAATCACTTAATACCACTTAATTCATTATTAAATGATTATATCAAGATAAAATTCGACATGAGTATGTTTGTGTATAGATAAATCGTTATATTAAAATGTTTCCAACTGGCCTATTAATATAAATTTTTCTGGACCTAATCAAAATTAGTTCCACATATACATAAACAAAAATTAAAATTTCAGAAATGAAATACGTAGGCAATAATGTCCTGTTACGATAGAAAAAGCTCATTTCATTTTAGACATTTTTAAACGAAAACTTTCAAATGTTTTATAAAAACCTAAATTTATACTTGATCGTAATAAAATGAAATGTTCGTGTGAGAACTAAATTGTTTTAGAAAACAGGCTTTTTATAATTAGTTTATTAAATTATTATAAATCAAAGTAAAAAATTAACAGCCTGTTTTTCTAAAATGAAAATTTGTCTTCGTTCTTAAAAATAACGAACGAAATTGGCTTTACGTTTTTGTAACGAAAAAATATATTTTCATGTGAGTGGCAACGAAAGAGCTTTATTTTTCCATATATTTTTGGTTTTTAGAAAATGAATTCGTTCGCAATAAACGAATGAAAAGTCAGAAATAGACGATAGGCAAAGGCCTTTCGTTTGCCCATAAAACAACGAAAATTATACCAAAATACGAAATAATATGTGGCCACTTGAACCTGAATACAATTTGCAATACAAACCTTTAAATTTCTTGAGACATTGCATACAAGTTTCATGTTGTTTTCAAAAAAACATTTTTTATAATTTCAATTTTTTTTTTTGTAAAATTATTTTATTTTGGTTTATTTTTTTTGGGTTAACACCAAACACCTTATTACTACATGAAAAAATATTTAAAATTTCAGAAATGAAATACGTAGGCAATAATGTTCTGTTACGATAGAAAAAGCTAATTTCATTTTAGACATTTTTAAACGAAAACTTTCAAATGTTTTATAAAAACCTAATTTTAAACTTGATCGTAATAAAATGAAATGTTCGTGTGAGAACTAAATTGTTTTAAAAAAACAGGCTGTAAATTTACAAAAATGTAGCTTTTTTATCAACAGATTCTTTTATTTATTTCATACAAAAATATTATTTTATATTAAATAATAGCTCAACCGTATAATCCTCCATAGCCACCGTAACCTCCATAGCCACCATATCCTCCATAACCTCCACCATAGCCGCCATATCCGCCATATCCCCCATAACCACCCAATCCTCCATAACCACCCAATCCTCCATATCCCCCATAACCCCCATAACCTCCATATCCCCCATAACCACCATATCGACCAAAACCATGATGGCGAGCTATACGTATATGTTCAGCATTATCGGCACGGACATGGTCAGAGTTGTCCGCGATAACTCCTTCATTATTCTTATCGCTATGAGCAGGTACTTCAGCACCCAACAATGATTTTAGATTTTTATTGTCAAGGGGATAACTGAAGGAAATGCCCAATGAGCACAGAACTAAAACTGCTACAATCAGTTTCATTACGAATATTTTTAATTATTTTTTTATTTATTTTGTAACCGAATTACTAAACGATGTTATTACTTCCCGCTAGAATTGCACACTTAGATTGTTTGCTAAAAATTACGATGTTTTATAGAATTGCGATTTAAATTTAAAAATCAAATATTAAAATCAAATATAATACTTAAACAAAATCTAGTAAAAAATTGTTATTATTAGAATACTTGTTTATTTAAAAACAAGTGCAAATAATGCAGTTATAATTATATATAGAACGGATTAACGTACATTGAAATAATTAAAAAAAAAAATTAGAACTTCCATATATCCTGAAACTCGATAAAATTGGTCTCCCCCGGTCTAAATATTATTACAAAAATCACAATTGGTTTTTACATACATTACAGTGAAATGTGTACCCAGCAAAAACTTACATTGAAAAGTAATGAGTTAAAAAGCTAAAAAAGCGCTCTCAAGTACTTACCAAATCACTACTTAAACAAGTACCTACAAATAGGGAGTTAAAAAGTTCACACAGAATACGAAGCCGGGCTTCTCGTTCTTTATTTCGCTGTTTTACTCACAACAACATTGCTTAGTTAGTTTATTGTGCGCCAAATAATGGTTTTAACACAGAAAAACAAATTTCTTTCGGTGTATGTAAAAAAACAGTTGCTAGGGCGCGATTCAATAAAATGTGTAAATAAAGCGGCAAAACTCAAAATAAAGTACTTACGTATCTGAGTATAAGTATTTCATTATAAGAGTACTTAAAAATAATGCCTCATAATTCATTTCTTACATTCTCATTTGTACATATTTTCTCTGTAAAACTTTTGCAAATATGAGTGATAAACCTGACATCTATGTATTCACCAAAGATTTAAAATTATTTCAACTGAATTTTAAATATTTTTGTGACAGGAAACCATTTTTATACCCACCTTCAAATCGTGTGTGTGTCTTAAGTTTCAAGTGTATTACGAAAGTGGACTTATACTATATAAATCGATACTTTGGCTACCACAATTTAATCATTTATTGGATTTATTCTAAACTGTTTTATCATATATAAATAGTAATATAGTCAGGGTGATGGTAGTACTTATTTTAAAATATTTTTTTATGATTCGATTTCCTATAAATTTACTTATGGTCAATTTTGGACCGATCATCCAATGGTTTGAAGAGCGTGTATACCTTTTATCCTCTCAAAATGCTCTATATTGTTTTTTTCTTTTTTTTTTTTTTTTGAGAAATATCACTTCCTCCTTCTTCAATTGGTACTTTTGGAATCTTTTTTATACCCTACAACACTATAGTAGGGAGGGTATTATGCATTTGTGCTGATGTTTGTAACACCCCAAAATATTAGTCCTACACCCACCTTAAAGTATACCAATCTCACATTCTGAGTCGATTTAGCTATATCCGTCCGTCCGTCTGTGTGTATAGTGAAGAGGTAGCGAAGCACTCCTAATCATGTATGTACTAGGGTACGCTAGTACATATGTAAATGATAATGTTGTAAAAATAAAACATTCATCATTACTTCGAAAGTAGCACTAAGTGAATTTTTTTAACTTTTGAGGAAGTAATGTTTAAAGACTTCCAAAGAAGCGAAAATAATTATATTTTTTTCAATGTTGAAGATATATTTTTTGTTCTTACATTTTTATGAGATAAAAAAATGTTATTTTTGGGCTTTTGTAATAAATGTGTCTATTACCCTTATTAATGTTAATATTATTTAAGTCAAATCTATAATACTACAATTTCACTTCCGAATAACTTCCAAAAAAAGAGCGTAAAAATTACTTCTTCAGAATGACTTCAGAAGTAGTGAATTTGTCTTACGACAATCCTGTGTTAAAATCAGCACTTCTTCAGGTCTTTTTCAGAACTTCCATGGAGTAAATTCTACTTCTTTTTCGCTTATTTGAAAGTTTTTTTTTTCTGGGACTAACTTAAATGAGAACTTTCGGGTTTCCTGGTTTAAAGAATATTCATTTTAGCTAATTCGCAATTTTATGAACGGGCAATTTTATTCCATTGAGTACCCTATATTACGAGTTAATGAGTAACCTTTACACACGATATAACTACATAATTAATAGAAATTTTTTTTGGCATTGATAAAAATCTTAGATCACTTATCTCACTTAAGATTAATATTTTGTATTAAAATCTATAAAAAATATTTGTTATAGAAAATATATCCTTCAAAAGAAATACCAGCGATATAAAATCAAAATTTCAGTATTTCTTGCACAAAAAGTAAAACAACATTTAGCAAAGATAATGTCGAACATTTTGGACTTAATATAGTTTATTGGCATTACTTAATAAAAGGTAAATGAGTACCTTAGTTCAAAAGTGTTGTATGTCATGAGGCATACATATGTTGAAAAACATTTTAAATCAAAACAAGTTAGAGTGCTATATTCGGCTGAGCCGATTCTTAAATACCCTCTACCAGCTACTTTTATATTAATAATTTTTTTAATTGATCAAATATTTGTAGAAATAAGTTTTCTCATGTCTTAAATAAAAAACCCCAAGAGTTAGACAGCTTAAATCGGTTACAATTCCAAGATTTATTGAACATTACAAACGCCATTTTCTTTTATATTGTTACAGCGCCCTAAGATATGCTTTTGCGATATTTAATAATTTGCATGCATGCATGTGTGTGAAAGATTTAAGGAAATTCAAAATATATATAATATTGTTCTACACAAATTGAGTGTAGTGCCGGTTCACACAGGTAAACTTTTTTTGGGAAACTTTTGATTTTGTGTGTGAGAGAAAGAGATGATTGATATTTCTTTTTCTCTCACACACAAAAATCCAAAGTTTGCCATAAAAAGTTTGACTGTGTGAACCGGCACTAATGCAACTAGTTAAATACGGTTAAAGTGATTTTCGGGGCAGGACCTAGTATGGGAGATATGACCAATTATAGATCGATCGAAAAAAAATTTCATAGTAACTTCTGTATATAAGAGCGATACTTGTAACAAATTTTATATGGATTTAGTAATTTAGTAATGATTTATGTGCGTTTAAGTGATTTTCGGGAGGGGACCTTGTATGGGAGCTATGACCAATTATGGACCGATGGTGAAAAAATTTTATAGTGTCATTTCTTTATATAAGAGCAATATTTGCGTTAAATATATGGATATCAATATTTGGTAATAAGTTAGGTGCGTTTAAGTGGTTTTCGGGAGGGGAACTTGCATGGGAGCTTTGACCAAATATGGACCGATCGTGAAAAAATGTTATACAGTCATTTCTGTATATAAGAGAAATATTTGTGCTAAATGTATGGATATCAATATTTGGTAATGAGTTATGATTAGTAATGTGTTATGTGCGTTTAAGTGATTTTCGGGAGGGGACCTTGTATGGGAGCTATGAGCTTATTTTTTTCGGAGTTGTTTTAAATTTTGATTCATAAGTTTTCCAGATGTGAAGCGATTTTGTTCATTTTCAATACCAAAACTGCCTAGGACAATAGTAAATATTTTGGGTGTATTTCGTTATTATTTTTTTTTTGCTTCGTGATAACGTGAGAATTTTTTATACAGACAGACAGACGGGCAGACGGACATACATAGCTAAATCGACTAAAAATTTCATAAGGTCCAAGAATATATATACTTTGTTGGGTCTCAGATGAATATTTCTTGGTGTTACACACAGAATGACAAAGTTATATAAGAATAACCTCTATCACCACTGATGGTGGTGGAGGGAGGGTATACAAAGGAATTTTTACGAAACCACTTTTCTCATTGAATTGATCATTATCCTCTAAAGAAAACAAATTAATATACACATTTTATCACTTATATCAACAGATTTATTTATTTCAAACAACAAATATTATTTAATATTATACAACATCTTAACCGTAATACCCTCCATAGCCACCATAACCGCCATATCCACCATAACCATGATGGCGAGCTATACGAATGTGGTCAGCGTTATCATCACTAATTCGTTCATTATCATTATTAACTGATGCTTCTGCACTTAACAATGATTTTAGATTTTTATTGTCTACGGGAGAACTGAAGCAAACGGCCAGTGAGCGCAGGACTAAAACTGCTACAATCAGTTTCATGACGAATATATTTTATTATTATTAAGTTTGTAAACGAAATACTAAACGTTGTTATTACTTGTCGCTTGAATTGCACACTATAGATTGTTTGCAAAGTATATTGTTATATAGAACTGCGATTTAATCTAAAAATACATTAAGTATACATAACATACATTAAGCTAAAAGTACACACTTAAAAAAAAAAACGAACAAAAAATTGTTATTGTTACAATACGTGCTAATTTCAATACAAGCATCTCTCATTTAAATTTTTGGCGATTTTTTTTCATTATCGTTTAATGCATTTTACATTTAAATATCTAACTAAATAATTTATAAAAATTTTAACTTCTCAAAAATTTCCAAAAAATAGTAGGTTAATTTATTTTTTTAAATATCACCTGTTTCTAATTTTAATACAATAAAAAAACCTTCTTTAGGTTTATTTTAACAAATTACTTATACGATAATTTATCGATTTCTGGTACGAATTCTACATCCAATTGTCTTAAAATTTTCCAACTAATAATTTTAGACCCTACGGGATAAAATTAAACTCACCATAATATTTTCCTTTTCATGTTGCCGGACTAATAATGAATTTTTCAGACGAATCATCAAAACAAACGTTGAATATGTTCATAGTAATGGATATTTCCTGATGAGTAAGTACGAACAATTTTATGCAAATATTTGGTATTAATAAACACTTGGGGATTCAACTTTGATATATCTACTTCAATAATATGTATACATATGTAATACAGATACAGATGGATGTATGTGTACATAGAACGCATAAACCGATTTTTGCGTAGTATATAGATAGATAGATGATATATATATAATATAATAAGGAGAGAGGAGAGAGAGAGATAGAGAGAGAGAGAGAGAGAGAGATATAGAGAGGAGAGAGAGAGAGGAGAGAGAGATATAGAGAGAGAGATAGATATATAGAGAGATATATAGATATATATATAGAGATAGATATATAGATAGATTATATAAGATAGATTAATATATATATAATAATATATATATATATATATATAATTATATATATATACGAAAAATCGGTTTAGGCGTTCTATGTACACATACATACATATGTATATGTATTACATATGTATACATATTATTGAAGTAGATATATCAAAGTTGAATCCCCAAGTGTTTATTAATACCAAATATTTGCATAAAATGTTCGTACTTATACTATATATATATATATATATATATAGTCAGGGTGATGGTAGTACTTATTTTATCGTATTTAATATTTTTTTAATAACTTGTAGAGTAATGTATATTGATTTACTGTAAATTTACTTATTATTCAATATGGGCCGATCTCCATTTGGCAGAGAGATTTAAGTTTACCTAAAACTTCTTTGCGTCGAATTTCGTTGCATTACTATCATTTTGAAGCAAGTTATAAGCGTTATAGTCATTTTCTGTGGGTGACCTTATACTTCGAATATCTGAAAAGTAGGGTTTATGCAAACAAACCAGAAACGCTTGAGCAACTCAAACAAAATATTCGTGATGAAATGAATGAAATACCGCGTGAAATGTAATGAAAAATGTGCTCAAAAGGGCTCGCATTTGTGAGGATGACAGAGGCGGACATTTATCTGATATGGTATTTCATACATAATTGCCAACATTAAATAAATCATTTATCAATATAATATCCATTCTCTTTCATTTAATCAAAAATTATAAGCAAACAAAGTAGTATACCTTCCCGGCGGACACCCTGTATAAGGGGTAGGGTCAATTATGGGCCGATCTCCATTTGGCAGAGAGATTTAAGTTCCCATAAAACTACTTTACACCGCATTTTATTGCATTACTATCATTTTCAAGCAAGTAATAAGCGTTAGAGTAATTTTCTGAAGGGGATCTTATTAGGGAGTCTATTATGGACCGATCAACATAAAATTTGGTAGAGAAATTTTGATTCCTCTAAAACTTGTTTATGTTGACTTACTTTGATATACTGGAATTTTAAAGTAAATTATGAGCTTTAAAGTAATTTTCTGAGAGGAACCGTGTATGGGGGTAGGGTTAATTATGGGCCGATCTTCATAAAATTTCACATTTCGTTGCTTTGCTATCATTTTGAAGCAAGTTATGAGCGTTATAGTCGTTTTCAGAGAAGGACCATAGGGGTAGGGTCAATTATGGACCGATCCTCATAAAATTTGGTAGGGAAGTTATGGGTCATATTAAACTTGTTTATGTGGAATTTCAGTCACATACTGATGTATTTAAACCAGCTATAACTGTTTACATTGTTTTCGATATGGCCCATTTTCAATACCAAAGAGTGCCTATCAATGAATAATATTTATGGGTCTATGATCAATATTTCGATATGTTACAAACGGAAGGACAAAAACAATATACCCCTGTAGTGTTTCACTACATGCTTTTATACCTTTTATAAACTTGTGTTATTTACTTTATATTACTATGCTTTCAAATCAAGTTTTATATTTTTTTATTTTCAAACTTGTCTTTATAATTTTTTCATAAAGAAATAAATTTTGTATAAAGAAGTTATGTTAATGTCGCCCAACCACACTACTATGGCTCTGTTGATTCGGCAACAGCACCTAGAGACGTAACCGGTGGACCGAAGCACGATCCATCAATAAGCCGTAGACATTGTTCTTACTCACAGTGACACGCTGTGGTAATTCTGATATAAACAGAGTATACTCTGAACATATCTGGACAAGGAAGGAAAATTAATCGGTATCACTTGTATATTATACCTTTCATCCATCATCATTCAACCCAACACACAACCCATTTATTCGACACACTCATAAGAGAAAAACATACGACACACTCATTTAGATATACGGGTGGGTGAGGCCCGTATCATATACAATTGACTCCAACCCATTTCCAACGCTTAGTCCCACAGTCACTCTTCTGTGGGGTATCTGTTGTTTTCGGCAACAGCACCGAACTTATCCCGAAATATTGACTATTATCATGCATCAGTCTTTTAACCGCAACTTACTCTTCCCGCGAATTTGGGTTTAAACCACAGCCACTACGTGAATCCCGAAGGAACCTCAACCAACTGACCAGGACATAGTCCTGCGGGCAACTGGCCACCCGTAGTACCAGATTATGCGGTGCTCTGGTCTGACCTCTGGCAATCTATGCAAGGACTAAGCCAGGCAGTAGACTGTAACCAATTTTTCAGTCCCGGTCAGACTGGAGGTATTGGCCACCTCTTTATACCCCGGGATTGCAATAACACCAAGGCGGAGGTCTCGCCAAGGTAACCTGCCCCGGGGGGAGGAGGAGCTAGACAGTTGAAATTTCGCATAAATATTATCTTTTGATAAGGTTTGTTTGGTATTGAAAATAGGCAATATCAGTCCATGTTTTCAGATAGCCACCAAAAAGCAGCTTTAACGTGCATAACTGTTTTAGGAAGTACGAGTATAGCGATGAAATTCGACATAAATAAGTTCATATGAGGCAATATCTCAACCAAATTTTTTGAGGATCGGCCCATAAATGACCCTACCCCCCATATGCCCCCTTCAGAAAACATAGGTTTTACGCGATCCAAAATCTCTTTACCAAATTTAATGAGGATCGGTCCATAATTGAACCTACCGCCCATACAAGGTCCCACTCAGAAAATTACTTAAACGGTCATTGCTAGCTTAAAAATACGAGTTATGAAATACGGTTATGAAATTCGACACAAGAAAAGTTTCTTATACGAACGTTAATCTTGCAATCGAATTTCATGCGGAAGGTTCGGTAACTCACCCTAACCCCCACAAGTTCTATACAAAACAAAGTCTATGTACAAAATTTTATGAGTATCGGTTCATAATTGACGCATATAAGGTCCTCTTCAGAAAATTACTGACATGCTCACGGTTTAAAAATTTAACAAAAATATTTTGTTTTTAAAAATTAATATTTTGTTACTTCAAAAGAGCTCGGTCCATAATTGACTTAAGCCATATTCCAAATATTTATGTTTATAGTGGAGCATTCCTTTTACGGCATAAGGTTTGATGGTGTGTATATGAGATTCGGCACAGCCGAATATAACACTCTCACTTATTGATTTTGGGCTCATTTTTCCTGGGGACATTTTTCGCAGCGCCTGGTTGATCACTTACAAATTCTTCACTATATACATACATATATACTGAAAACGTTTACTTTTTCATTTTATAAATTATGTAATTTGGCAAAATTATCGATTCTTTGTTATCGAAAACTTGAAGTCTCACTTTTGTTCTAAATGAAAAGTCTTGGAAAACCAAAACGGTTCAGTCAACATGAAAACATTTAAGAAACAAAACAAGAGAATTACAAATTCAATTTTTTTCTTGTCGATTTTTTTTATTTAGTTTATTGTTCTAATCAAAGGGAACAAAATTAAATATAAAAATATTATTTATTTCATATTGAATATATTAACCGTATAATGTGTATGTTGTGTATCCATAGCCATTACTAAGTCCACCATAACCTCCATATCCTCCATATCCACCATATCCTCGATATCCACCATATCCCCCATAACCGCCATATCCTCCATAACCACCATATCCTCCATAACCACCATATCCACCATAACTAGGTTGGCGTGCTATACGAATGTGTTCAGTATTATCGGCACCGATGTGGGCAGCGTTATTAGCAGGAATTTGTTCAATACTCTTATCACTGCGGACTAGGGCTTCAGCACCTAACAATGATTTTACATTTTTATCGTCGAGGGGATAACTGCAGCAAATGGCCAACGAGCACAGGAATAAAACTGCTACAATCAGTTTCATGACGATGATTTTAATTTAATTTTTACTTTTGCAACCGAATTACTTAAAGATGTTATTACTTCTAGTTAGAATTTACCACTATAGATTGTTTGCAAAAAATTGCAATGTTTTATAGGACTGTGATTTAAATTAAAAATAGATTTGTTCCTATGTATGTATGTATGTTTGTATATATCATTCTAAAAATACTTCCAACAAAATAAACAAAATCTTATTGTTGTAACAATACGTGTGTATCTCAAAACAAATGCAAATATTACAGTTTATGACCTGTCATTTTAATATTCGGCAATTTTTTAACCCTTTAACAACTAAGACCGTAAACAGAAAGTCATCAAGAAATGCTATTTATTGTAAAGTATGATTTATATTTCATTCTGAATAATATCAGAATATCAATAATATCAGATGAGTATCAGCAAATATGTTTGACTGAGATAACAGTTTCAATTTGCTGTCCTTTGTCTGACGAAAAATGAACTAATCAAGTTCAACAACTAGGGACCTCAGAATCTTCTCCAAAAGCAATGTAATTTTTCTTCAGGTTTACTTCGTCGGATTACACGATCTTTAATAGCCACCAGCTGTGTTCTTGTTATAATAAAGGGTCGAATATGGACCGATCCTCATAAAATTTGGTAGAGAGATTTTGGCTTATATAAAACTTAGTTAGTTAGTTAACTAACTATATAAAACTTACTTATGTCGAATTTTATCGCTGTACTCGTATTTTTAAGCCAGCAATGAGCGATGAAGTCGTTTTCTGAAGGGTACCTTATATGGGGGGTAGGGTCAATTATGGACCGATTTTGACGCATATAAAACTTACTTATGTCGAATTTTATCGCTGTACTCGTATGTTTAAGCCAGCAATGAGCGATGAAGTCGTTTTCTGAAGGGGACCTTATATGGGGGGTAGGGTCAATTATGCACCGATCCTCACAAAATTTGGTAGAGAGATTTTGACGGATATAAAACTTATCTATGTCGAAAGGATACTCGTATTTTTAAAATGGTTATGACTGTTAAAGCTGTTTTTCGGGGGGCCACTTGTATGGGGGCTATGCGAAATCGTGGACCGATATTGGCCATTTGCAATACCAAACAAACCTTACCTGTAAGGAATAATTGTGGAACGGGCATGGCCAGATCGTCTTAGAATTTAATAAGGACCCAGAATATATATACTTTTGGGGGTCTACGACCAATATTTCGATGTGTTACAAACGGAGTGACAAAATCGATATAGCCCCATCTTTTTTGATGGTATAATAAGTTATTTTTTAGAACTTGATGCCACTACATACTAAAAAAGGATAATATCCTGCATCCATTTTTCGTCAAGAATGATCAATACGTCAAAATGAAGTGCGTAGTGAAGTCATATCCACAAAAAAGTCCAGCGGTTTAGTTTTGTGTGTGAAAGGGTTAACTGACGTTTACTGCCTATTACGTTGCAATATGTACACGCAGCGACATAATTAAGAAAAAATTGAACTTCCAAGAAATTCCTATAAATCCTGAAACGTAAGATAGGAGACAGTGGGTAGCTCCTTAAAATTTGGTCACTTCGATTTTTGTTTGTATTTTAGATGAAAAAAAAATCAGCTGTCTTGATTTTATTTCATCGCTTTTCCGTATTCTGTATTTTTAAGCCAGTAATGATCCTTTAAGTAATTTTTTGAAGGACACCTTATATGGGGAGTAGGGTCAATTATGGACCGATCCACATAATGTCTGATAGAGAGATTTTGGCTTCATTGAAATTTATGTGTGTTGAATTTCATCACTATACTCGTAAAATCATTTTCTGAAGGGGACCTTATATAGGGGGTAGGGTCAATTATGGACCGATCAACATAAAATTTGGTAGAGAGGTTTTGGATCATAAGAGATTTACTTATGTCAAATTTCATTGTTATACTAGTATTTTTTAGCCAGTAATGAGTGTTAAACAAATTTTCTGAAGGGGGCCTTATATGGGGAGTAGGGTCAATTATGTACCGATCCTCATAAAATGTGGTAGGGAGATTTTGGATCATATGAAACTTATTTATGTCGAATTTCATCGCTATACTCGTACTTTTGAAACAGATATGCCCATTAAAGCTTTTTTTCGGGGGTCCACTTGTATGGGGGCTAACCGAAAACGTAGACCGATATTGCCCATTTTCAATACCAAATAAACCTTACCTATAGAGAATATTTGTGGAAAATTGCAATCCTCTATCTCGTTCGGACTCTATCGTGCTTTCAACAGACAGACGGACGGACACACGGACAGACATCGTCTTAAAATTTAATAAGGACCCTGAATATATATACATACTTTTGTGGGTCTATGACCAATATTTTGATGTGTTACAAAAGGAGTGACAAAATCAATATACCCCCATCTTTTTTGATGGTGGGTATAAAAATTACTTATAAGTATCTTTTCTTTACAAATCTTCTAGAGTTCGAAAAAGTTGGAACATGTAAAAAAGTCCTATTTTTACTTTTTGCCAAGAAGGTCCTAATGTTATTTATCTCGTTTATAGAACAAAATTTCCGGTTTATTTTAAGCAATTATGTTATTAGAATTTATCAATTTGCAGTACAAATTCTCGCTGTAAAATTGGTTTACAATTTTGCATCCAATAATTTTACATCATGTGGAACAAAATTGAACTCACCATATGAAATGCTGAAAATATGTATCTGCCAAAAGTTTTATTGACATTTTCCCACTGTATTGCTTCTGTGTGCAATTGTAAGTTCATTGTACATTTATTTTATAAGTGCATTGTATGCATTACTACGTATTTATACAATTTACGATATATTTTTTTTTTTAATTTTAATATACTTTGGTTTATTTTTGTCACAATACAAATAAAGTATTTTTCCGTTTAGTCTTGAATTAAGGAATGTTTCATGTAAATCATCTATAAGCGTTAAAAATGTCAAAAGATTTGGAAATTTTCTAATGAGTAAATGTATTTATATTTTTATAAGAATTTGGTACCAATGAACAGTTGGGAATTTAACTTCGGTAGATAATGAGTATATCAGACCTATTGTGTGCACATTATTAACATTAAAAGAACTCAAAAGTAATAATAAAGATATATGCAAACAAAAGTGGAATAAATTCTATCTTTGTGGAAAGTACTAATAAAAAGTGTACCATTTTCCACATTTTCGTTTAGGAATAGGCTTTTTCGAGAATTAAGTTTACAAAATATTCCGTGATTAAATCTATATATCACAGACAAAACTCAAACGATTCAAATCTGCATTCATTTGTTCCAGAAAAATTGTGCTTTTAAAAAGTACCAAACAATTTACCCGAATTTGGTCCTATATACACCTTAGTACCTGTATTCCAAAATAATATACCAATAGCTTATTTTGTGTGAGTAAATTAACTATTTTTTGATCAATTTTATAAAAATTGGCTCAAATTGTTTGAATAAACTAAATTTCCCGTTTTCCCCTTTTTGGTACTTTTTCCCCAGTGAAATAGCAAATATTTTGTTTCAATAAATATTACGTCAATAAGTCGAAAAAGTTTTCTTAATGTGCTAAAAAAAAAGTACCAAAAATACATTTTTCTCCTTTTACACCCAAAAAGGACTGAATTTTGATAAAGTACGAAACAGGTGTCTCATAATTTTGGATAATATATCCAAAATATTTACAACAATTTTATTATGTTTATTAGTTAAGATGTTATAAAGGGCCAAAAAAAGGTACCAAAATCACCTTTGTTACATTTTTCACCTCTTAAAAGTACGAATTTCAAAAAAGTACCAGACACCCATCTGCTCATTTTAAGAGTAGATACAGGTGCATTTAAAACTTTTCTTGTATCATTAATATTGTGTAAGATAATTAAGAAAACCTGTTTTACCCGTTTTTCCCCTTTTTTACCCCTAAATGTACAAATTTCCAAAAATCCTTCATTGGTGGATCTACATAACCAAAAACACATCTACTGTCAAAATTCCTTGATTCTAGGTTCAGCCGTTTAGGCTGTGCCATGATGAATCAGTCAGTCAGTAACACTACTCTTTTATATATATAGATTATGGACTGAAGAATGATTTGTATATACTCAAAATATACTCATGTGAATTTTATAGCGAAATCTTTTTTGTCGATGAAGTATTTATGTGGAAGTGGACCTCATATGGGATGTGTTTCCAATTATGGAACGCTACGGAAAAAATTTCGCAGGGTGGTTTATATGTACTTTAAACACATTCATGACAAATTTTATCCCGATATGTTTATTTATTAATGAAATATGTACGTTTACGTGGTTATCGGAAGTGGGCCTTATATGAGAGCTATAAACAATTATGGACTGATCCGAGAAATATTTAGTGGAGTGATATACAAACATATGCATACACAAAACGTATTTTTATCGAATATTATACCGATATCTCTATTACTTAATTAGTTATGTGCATTTAATTGATTTTCGGAAGCCTTGTATGGGACCTATGACCAATTGTGGACCGATGTAGATCTACGTTGGTAATATGATTTCTTTTTATACAATATATGTACATATCTGTAAAATTGTTGAGTGATACCGATATTTTTGAGGAAGTCATTAACGATAAATCCATTTCCGGGAATAGGTACATTTGTATGGGTGCTAGAGAGATTATGGAACGATTGTTGAGATTTTTGGACACAATTGATCCGTAGGCGAAAAAATTAATTATTAATTATCTTATTATCTTAGGTAGTTTCTAAGAAATCTCAAGAAATAGGGAAAAACGTAATTTTTCAAGGTAGTGTGAAATTTTTACTCATGACTTTTACGTTGTGAACCGATTTTGCTGATTTTCAATACCAAACTGCTTAGAACAACAATGAATAGTTTTGATGAATTTGGTTTATTTCTTTTGCTTAGTTTTAACGTGAGCGTGTTTTAGGCAGACAAATAATTGGAACGCCAATTTTCAACTTCAGTTCGTGGGGTGGAAAGCCTGGTAAATCAA